GGAGGAGGCCCGGGAAAGGGCAGACCCTGCGAGGGGAGGCGAGGCGGGCGCAGCCGAGAGGTGAAGCGTTAGGGCTCTTGAAAGCTTGGAGAGACCCGGCCCAAGACCCCAGAGGAGACGAGGGTCGGGGATGTCTCCCACCATCTTCCTGTTCTTTCTCTTTCCCGACTCCCCCAGAGGCACCCCAGGGCTGGCTGGCGGCCTTGCAGGACCGCGGCGTCCTGGCTCCCTTGGCGTGGGATCTGGGGCTCCTGCTGCTCTTTGTGGGGCAGCACAGCCTCATGGCGACTGAGACCGCGAAGGTGTGGCTGTCCCGGTGCTTTGGGGTTCTTCAGAGGTCACTGTACGTGGCATGCACTGCCCTGGCCTTGCAGGTATGCGGCCCTCAGGGAGAGTCTGGGAAGGATGCCCTAGATTGCGGGGGGCAAGGACCTTGGGCTTCCGACAAAGGTGTGGGTGTAGGAGAACTCGGGGTGTTCAGGACTCTAATCTCAGCTTCCAGTCTTCCACAGCACACACCTTACTTTATATCAAGAAGGGTGCACTGCCCTAGCCGATTTGGCTCAGTGGATAGACCGTCAGCCCGAGGACTGCAGGGTCCCGGGTTCGATTCTGGTCAGGGGCATGTACCTTGATCCAGAGTCGGAGAAGCAACCAATTGATGTGTCATTGACAGACATCAGTGTTTCTCTCTGTCTCCCCCTCCCTTCCACTCTCTCTAAAAAAGCAATCTAAAAATGTGCTCGGTGAGGATTCACAAGAAAAAGGTGCACCTTGTCATTCCCCAAGCACGTGTGCCATGTGCACTGACCCCTGCACGTTGTCAGTCCTGCCTGCAACGCTCTCCTCAGCCCTGCCCTGTCTTCAAACCCAGCAGCAGGCTCCCTCGTTAGTGTGATTTTTATTTATTTACTAGAGACCCGATGCAAGGGCCTTGGCCCTGGCCCCGGCCCCGCCCACTGCAGCTTTGTCCGGAAGGACGTCCAGTCTAATTAGCATATAACACTTTTATTATTATAGATATAGATATTTTTTAATCCTCACCTGAGTATACTTTTCCATTGATTTTCAGATAGAGTGGAAGAGAGAGGGAAAGACAGAAAAATATTGATGTGAGAGAAACATCAATTGGTTGCCTCCTGCATGTGCCCGACCAGGGCCCGTACTGGGGGAGGAGCCTGTAACCGGGTACCTGCCCTTGACGGGAATTGAACCCAGAACCCTTTGGTCTGCAGGCCAAGGCTCTATCCATTGAGCCAAACCGGCTAGGGCCAGGCTTCCTAGTTAGTACTCGCTTGTCTTCTCAGTGGGTGCTGGGCATAGGCTGCTCTGTGCGCCTCTCTGGTCACCCTCACCATCCTGTAAGTGCTCTGGGAAGATAGGGGTCACCCTTATATCCTTGGAACCCCACCCAGCACCTCCACGAGCTGAGTGTTGGTGATGCTCATGGTAAAGATGGGGAGAGCTACAGGCTGTCTGGGGTGGGGCAGCCTGTCGAGGTCTCCCAGCCCCTCCTCCTCTCCCAGCTGGTGATGCGATGCTGGAAGCCCGTCCCCAGAGGCCCTGTGCTGTGGGCAGCTCAGGCCGAGCCCTGGGCCACCTGGGTGCCCCTGCTGTGCTTTGTGCTGCACGCCGTGGCCTGGCTCCTCATCTTCAGCATCCTCCTCGTCTTTGACTACGCGGAGCTCATGGGCCTCAAGCAGGTGAGGCCCGTTCCCTACCTTCCATCCTTTCTAGAACACCTCTCGCCTTGCCAAGGACTTCCCGCTCCTCCTCCCATGCTCGGCCCCCTTCCTCTTGCTCCCGCTCCCTGACCTGCCCTTCTTGTATGATAGTCTCCCCTCAGCTCCCGCCTCAGAGGCCAGAAGCCTCCTGGGCCTGTGGAAGGTTCCTGGCCCGGAGATGAGGGTCAGGGGCCCGAGACCTAGAAGGGGGAGGTTCCTGGGCCTGAGTCATCGAGGGGGTACCTGGCAGGGAGGAGAGGTGACAGCTGTGAAAGGCCCCGGCTCGCTGACTGCTCCCCTCTCCTAGGTGTACTACCACGTGCGAGGGCTGGGCGAGCCCCTCGCCCTGAAGTCCCCCCGCGCTCTGAGGCTCTTCTCCCACCTGCGCCACCCGGTGTGTGTGGAGCTGCTGACGGTGCTGTGGGTGGTGCCCACCCTGGGCACCGACCGGCTCCTCCTCGCTCTCCTCCTCACCCTGTACCTGGGCCTGGCTCACGGACTTGACCAACAAGACCTCTGCTACCTCCGGGCCCAGCTGCAAAGAAAACTGCACCTGCTCTCCCGGCCCCAGGAGGGCAGCGCCCAGTGAGCCGGAGCCCCGGTGTCAGGCCCTGCTCTCCTCTCCCCTGGCCACCCAGGCCCGGCGTATTCAGACCGGAGGCCCCGATCCGCGGGCTGAGGGCCGTCCATCCACTCCACTCCCGCCCACCTCATGCCCTAAATCCCGAGTGTCCGCGCTCCGAGGCCCACTCCTCGCCAGCCAGGACGGGGCGGGGACTTGCAGGACTCACAGCTGAGGGCGTGACCCCCCCTTCCCAGCCTCAGAGGGCGAAGGGTCCCGCCTGGCTACTCCCGGGCACTCGCCCTGCATCTCAGGGTCCCCTTCTCCGTCTCGCTCGCGCCCAGGAGCTGGTGCAGCCGCCCCGCCCCCCGCCCTGCACCTCGAGGCCCCCGGTTCCTGCAGCTGAGCTGAGCGGCCTCTTTGCCCTTCGGGTGACGGGCTCCCTGCTCTCCCGAGGGACACGCGCGGCGGGAAAATAAATCGCAGCCGGTTTCTCTGCACTTGGCGCGCGGTTTGTCGGAGCCGCGGGGCACAGTTTGGGAAGGACCTTTCTGTGGTCATCTGTCTTCGGCCCCTCCTACAGGAGCGATCTTTCTAAGACAGAAACACCGTCACCTTTCTCCCTGGTTCGGAGCTTGCCAGGGCCTCCACCCTGGAATCAAGGCCAGCTCCTCAGAGTGGGACCCCTCCCCACCTCAGGCCTCCCTCCCTGCAGCAGAGTCCTGGGGCCCTGCACTGACCGTGCTGAAGAGGCAGGAGCCTCCGAATTCCCGTCCTGACCGCAGATCGCAGAGCGAGCTGTCCTTGTTTCATGAGCTTTCCCGTCAGTGAGTAATCCTGGGGGCGTCGTTTCCGCAGAGGAGACACCTCCTGTGACTCGCGTGATGGGCTCACTAAATGTGACTTTCTTGCTGTCTTGCAGACAGAAACAGCCTCCGCCAGTCAAGAAACCCTCCGAAGTATTTTGCCATGGATCTGGAAGATGAAGAAAACCTGAGTAAGACCTCGGCTGCCACGTAGTCTCCAGTAGCTGGTTTTCCATTAGTCGTAGTGTTCCTGGGAGTTTTCTCAGGAGGCCAGTTTGGGGGAAGTGAACTTCCGAGGCTGCAAGCAGTGGCGGGTTTTTAATTTTGGCTACGTTCTCTATTTACTGTGGGCCTCCCCTCCCAGCCGCAGGGAGGGTTGCCGCTGCCTGAAGGAGCGCATGCTCTGGTGCATGTCCCATGAAGCTGCACGCTTCCTGTTGGCACAGCCTGGTTACCATGACGATGGTCAGATTTCCGTCTGTAAAGTCTAAGATAACCTCTGAGGTGGATTTAAATAGCTGGCCATTTAAAATAGTACATACCTATTCTGTCCAAATACCCTGGATTCTCCTATATTTTGAGGGAAAGGGCTCACACGAATCTGCTGATCTTGTTTCTAGACTTTAATGAGCCTTAGGACTAGTGTGGCCTGAAACACCGGGGCCTTCTCCTTTCCCCCCTGCCCTCTCTGGGGCGGAGGGAGGCGGGCGGAGCACAGCTGGAAAGGGAGCCTGGACCTCGGGGCCGCCCTTGCCCCTGGACCTCTCCACCCTCCGCCCCTCACCTCCCTGACACCCGCTAGGGTCCCGCAGGCCCCTCTCCAGCGGGACTCGCTGACCTCCGTCCCCACTCCCACGCCCCCTGGCCCTCACCCGCAGCCTCACACCCACTTCTCTCTCCTCTCGGTCCCTCTCTGGCACCCGTGAACCCTGAGCTGCCAAATCTGAATCTCCCTCTTCCTCTGCCGCGTCCCTCCCCATCTGCTCGGCCCATAGGCGTTTCTTCACTTCTGGTTTCCCTCTCCCGCCGCACTGCCTGTCCTGCCCGCCCTCCGCGTCCCACCTCCCGCGCCGCTCTGCCGTCCAGGCTCATCCCGGGGCCTCAGCAGCACCTCCTCCCTGCTCTCTGCCTCCAGTGCGCCTCACCTGCACCTCGAGGGACCATGGCCACCATCCCGGACTGGAAGCTACAGCTGCTGGCCCGGCGCCGGCAGGAGGAGGCAGCCGCGCGGGGCCGGGAGAAGGCGGAGCGGGAGCGCCTGTCCCAGATGCCAGCTTGGAAGCGGGGGCTCCTGGAACGCCGCCGGGCCAAGCTTGGTCTGTGTCCTGGGGAGCCCAGCCCTGCGTCTGGGCCTCCAGAAGCTGGGCCTCCAGACCCAGACAAGTCTGCGGTCCTGCTGGAGGCCATCGGCCCAGTGCACCAGAACCGATTCATCCGGCAGGAGCGCCAGCAGCAGCAGCAGCAGCGGCGGCGGAGTGACGAGCTCCTTGCAGAAAGGAGGCCTGGGCCTGCGGAGGCCCGGGAATGGAGACCCAGCCCTGGGGAGATGCAGGATCCAAGTCCCAAAGAAAGAGAGCCCAGGGAAGAGCGGCTCAGCCCCAGGGAAGCCGGAGACAGGAGGCCGGGGGTAGGGGGAGCCCGAGAGTCAAGCCCCAGGCCTTCGGAGGCCCGGGACTGGCCGCGCCTGGGAGAGGCTGGAGACAGGGCCTCGGGGCTGCCAGAGGCGCGGCGGTGGAGGCTGAGCCCCGGAGAAGCGGACGGAGGTGTGACCCCGGCAGAGCCTGGAGAACAAAGCCCCAGGAGGAAGGAGGCGGCCAGGGGGAGGCTGAGCCCAGTGGAGTCTGACGGCCAGCACTTGGGCCCGACGGAGGCCCCTAAATGGAGGCCTGGCTGCACAGAGTCTCAGGAGCAGAGTTGGAAGCCACTGGAGGCAGCAGAATGGAGTCTGAGCCCAGGAGACGGGAAAGGCAGCTCGGAGGAATGTGGGAGCAGAGAAGACAGGCGGGCTCCAAGGGCAGCC